AAACAGAGATATTTTTGTTGGGCTTCCTACCGGAAAAATACGATAAAAAGACTATATATCTGGTTTTACATAGACAGTACCAACCGCAGCCAGAATTGTACTTGTACAACAATGGAAAAATGATGAGATTCCATCAGACGAGAATGTAATTAAGAAAATCCTATATATATATATATATCAGTCTTTCATTGTATTGTTATTAATCTATTTAACAACATAATTATATTATCACTTATCTCCTCTAGTATTTTCTTAATTACATTCTCGTCTGATGGAATCTCATCATTTTTCCATTGTTGTACAAGTACAATTCTGGCTGCGGTTGGTACTGTATATGTAAAACCAGATATATAGTCTTTTTATCGTATTTTTCCGGTAGGAAGCCCAACAAAAATATCTCTGTTTTCAAGTCTATATGCTGCTTTATCATTTTTTTCCAACCAAGTGGGTATTTTTGTCCAATATTTTTTTAGCTTTTGGGCAAGTCAATCATATATGATAGTATGAACCCAATGGTTGATTGACACTTCCAACATTTATACACTTTGGCCGGTCTTGCCGGTGAAAAATGCCATCCATAAAACATTTTGTACAAATTTTCTTTATATCCATATAAAGTTTACCTGTGTATTCTAAGGGTTTGAAAGCAAACTTCTGATCCTGCAATTTTGCTCTTGAGGTGGGTGCTTGCTTGGGAACTGAAACTTTCTTTTTCCTCCGTAGGGTTGCTGGAGACGGACACTTCCCTGTCTGAAAAACCTGAAGAATATTTTGCTGAGCTGCAGAATTTCCGTCAGGTGAACAAGGAGGCTTGCATCCGTGACCACGGCTTCGAGTACGACCCAGCTGGGGGGTGGAGGGGGAAGTTGGAAAAAGGAGTGGACATGGGAGCTTGCCTTGAGATCTGCTCAAACACGAAAAGGGCCATTTTTTGAAGCAGAGGTTCATACAACATGCTTCAATCCGGATAGTTAAAACACGCCAGCCGCGCATTTCGCATGATAAATATCTGCTTTGCAAGGGGTAAACTCCAGGTTTCTACCGTATTTTTCGGAGTATAAGACGCACCAGAGTATAAGACGCACCAAGATTTTGAAGAGGCAAATTTTTTTTAAAAAAGGTTTTGCAGTGTGCTCCCAAAAACGGCCTGTTTTTTTTTTTTTTAAAGGACATGAATTGCCTTTAGGAGGCTTGTATCCTGGGGAATGGGGGATCCCAAAATTGAGCAAAAAATGGCCTGCTTTTTTGTAAAAATGGCCCCGTTTTTTGTCCCCCCAAAAAAGGGTATGTATAGCCTTTAGGAGGCTTATAGAGTGTTCCTGGGGGTTGGGGGGGGGGAAACTGAGCAAAAACAGCCTGTTTTTCTCTCATTTCTGCCCTCCCCAGCCCCCATGAGCACTCTATAAGTCTCCTAAAGGCTATGCACAGACGTTTGTCAAGGGGGTTTCAGGAGGCAAAAAAATGCTGTATTCAGTGTATAAGACGCACCCAGATTTTCAGCCTCTTTTTGAGGGAAAAAGGTGCATCTTATACTCTGAAAAATACGGTAATTTTAAAGCTGCTGTGGCTGTGTGATCCCACACAACGACCCCACAACAACCTTTGTTTCATCATGGTCTGGCAGGGCTAACTCGGTCTCCAAACCAAAGAACAGGAAGATATGTTACAGGTCACCTAGCCCAGTGATGGCTCATCTTTTTGTCGTTGCATGCCGAAAGCGTGCATACTCGCGCCCCACACCCATAATGCAATGCGTGCGTGACACACACACCCCGCGTGCCACGCCCCCCTGCACATGCACACACAAACCACCACCACCCCGCCCCATTTTGGGCCTTGCAGGCCTCCCTGAAGCTTCTTGGGACCAAAAATGGGGTGCAGGGGGATGCGCCACTTCCCTCCGCACTCATGCACCCCCCCGCGCATGTGCACGGCACCCTCCCACCGTCCATGAATGTGTGTGTCTCCCGCATGCACTCCGTGCATGTGTGTCAAAACCCCAAAAATCAGCTGGCCAGCGGGAGGCGCATGCCCATGTGTGGTGAAGCTGGTTGGGGCACCAGCTTGCACGCCCGCAGAGGGGGCTCCATGTGCTACCTGTGGCATGCATGCTGTAGGTTTACCGACACTGCACGATTCCTTTCTTGGCCTTGTAAATTTGGGATTTTCCTTTATTTACAGGTTGGAAGACTTGAAATCTTCGGCCCTGGATCAGGAGATGGAAACAGATGTGGCTTCCCACCAGTGTATGCCAGCGCATTTTGGGGGTGGAAATTCAGCAGGAATTATGTGTGTGGGAATAACAGCCCTGGCAGGATCTAGACCGGGCCGGGGTGGAGGTGGAGGGCTGTCTCCAAATTTGGCCACTGTGAGACTTTTTGTTGCTAAATGGAAACCACTTCTGGACTTTGTGTTTGACGTTGATTTTGCCGTTATAGAAATGGCTAATCTTTTTCTTCTTCTTCTTCTTCTTCTTCTTCTTCTTCTTCTTCTTCTTCTTCTTCTTCTTCTTCTTCTTCTTCTTCTTCTTCTTCTTCTTCTTCTTCTTCT